CAACGAGTGACGACTCAATATTAATCTTGCGTTTCTTTCCCAGCAAAGTTTTCGCTGTATCACCGTCGTTGTCGTTGCCGTCGTTTTTAAGTCAATGAAACAGCGCGCATCACCAGTTCTCATTGTCCTTCACAGGCCCTGCCGGCGAAACCACGCGACCTCCCAGACAACATCGCCTTGCTCCGATTGATTCAGGACAGAGTCGTACCACCCCTACAGCAACTGCAGCGGGGCGTGGACGCGGGCAGAAAGGTGGTGGCGGCGAGGAGGGTACGTTGGATCCACAAGCCAGCCGCCTGCAGGGAGCAGCGCGCCCAGGTGCGGTGGGTGCTGCCCGCGGCCGAGGTGCTGTGCGACAAGTGTTACGTGTAGAGAAGGAAGAAGTCTAGGGGTGGCGAGCAGCGGGCGACATTTGTACGACTTGTACCGAGGCGTCACAACGCCAGCTGCCCGATGCGTTGGACGCGGAGAGCGATCAGGGCTTAGTGTCAGTCCCGCAGATCACTTGTTTTGTTCCCTAAAAATATTAGTCCACAGCGGCTGAGAACAGAAATATCTTTTTAATCAGTACAATTTTTACGTTACAGGAGTAAGGCCGAGTCCTAGGAGCCAATCAGCGTCCACGCCGTGCTCAAGTAGTGATGGAGGTGGTTTGGGGACCAGACTCGGGCTCATATGACGACTTCACGCCTAGGACAGGGGTGTGTGACAAGCACCGCAAACCACTTCAAAAGACGAGGGCAAGAAACTCCGGATGGTCCGTCGCTGGAGTAGGCAGGCAGCAACCTCTGGGCACGGCACGCACGTTGGGCGTTGAAGGACGAGCCGCTTGAGCGCCCGCAGGCCGCAGGCCGCCAGATCCTGGCCCAGCTCAGGATGGTAGAAGTCTGGTGCGTATTCTTTCTTGTCGTTGACAGGAGAGAAGATCTCGAGCTCCTGCAGTGATGAGGCGAAGGCCCGGATGAGGGACAGCATAGCGGCTCTGATAGATGTATGAAGGTGTACGTGCATCCATTGCAGCGTGTCGTGCTGCGAGGGGGGAAAGGTCACATTTGCACCAGAGTAACCGTTGAAATACACGCTGCATAACCTGGGCATGTTAAGCACACGACGCAGCTGATTTTCGTTTACGTTTGTTATGTGTAACTCCTCAAGCTGAAGCGGCAAGTCTGGATACTTTAATGTCCAGTCATACTGGACCTTGAGGCGTCTCAATGAAGACAGTTTCTCAACCTCCTCCATGACCCCCGATTCAATTTGACCCGATATTTCGAGCTCCTCGAGGTACGGGAGGTGAGGAGCCAAGACCCGCAGCAGCTTGTCCGAGCCCTTGCCCTGTAGGCCTTTGATGGCTCGCACATCTCTCCACCTCTGTCCGTCTCGTAGGATGTCATCCACCTTTAAAAGGTCCTTGTCGAGGTCCTTGGCAACAATGGAGAGGGTGGGGAACATGGGCGGCCCCACGTAAGCCGCAGGTGTGGCAGGGACAGCGACGTCGTCAACCTGGAAGGGGGGGAGAGAGAAAGCGAATAAGGCTACGCCACTTGAAGGACAACAACTCTAGCTTGCCAAAATGGTAGCTAACCTTTAGCAGTAGGTAGTCTTCTCGCAGCTGAACCAAGAGAGGGCGCAGAATGTCACCGAATCCGCCGAGCTGCACGGAGGCCTTCCAGGTCGACCCATCTTCCTCCTGAGCGACGAAGCTGCATCTGTTGGTATTGAGGAGACGGATGCTGTCCTCCATCTGTTCAGCCAGCTGCAGCTGCTCCTCCGGCGTGGGGCCCACATCGCCCGCCACACCCCGCTGCACGTGCTGCTCCAGGGCCTCCTCTAGGTGGCGGAGGTGTGCGACCGACGTGTCCAGCTGGCGGTTCAGCGCCTCCACGGCCTTGGGGACCACCAGCCGCAGCGCCTCCACCAGCTTCCTGCCCGCCTCCAAACCCCGCTGAAGCCGCTGCTGCTCCGTAACTTCTCTTCTGGGCCTTTTGCACGGAAGAACACATTGGTCCTCTATCATTCGGATGACGATGTTGGCATCAGGGAGGTCGCCAGGGTCCACCTCCAGATCCTATGGGAGAACAAGAAAGTCACTCTGCTTAACTACCTCAAACCGGTAACCACAGCAAATAATATCCCAGTGAGAAATGCAATATCCAATCGACGTCGACATTGTTTTTTCCTCGATTTGACGTCAATTCGATATTGCATTTCTCACTGGGATATCATTTGATGGGCAACACAAGAAGGCAAAATTTATATTTTAATGCACTCTGACCAAGATTGTCTTTAATCATTTTTTATTGAACCCCACAGTTCCTGATATTGCAACCAGTAGATTATTTGAAATACAATTTCTATACGCAATTTTTATAAATCTTTCTTCTTCTTAACCTGAATAATATTTCTCGTCTCCAGCTGTACGATTGGTGACTACAGCCTCAAAGCACATGAACATTGTTACTCACCTTTCTACAAGTGGGGCACTTCTTTCCCAGGTCAGGGTTTAACACGCATTTTTTACAGATGGTGTGTCCACACGGCAAATTCTTGGGACGGTGGGTGTCCAGATCAAAATTGGAAAAGCAAACATCACACTGGAGCTCCATCTAAAAGAAGAAGAGGTTCACACTCAATGCAGTTTTGTTGACGACTATGAGTTTGTATCCCACTCTGAGTTCACAACACCAACGTAAAATTATTTTTGTTTGTACTTTAATAATTTGTTCCGTTTTAAACTGGTAAAAAAAATGGTACGGAAACAAAATGAAGGTGGCCCCACAATGGAAGACTAATACCCATCACCTGTCATTTCAAATTTTGCTAATATGGATACAGCCCAGGTTTGCTAATGCACATTGGGTACTTGAGTATGCAATACATATGTTTTCACTAATTTTGCAGACATTTTTAGGCACCTATGAGAAACACATCAGGACCCATGATCCTTTGGTACACCCATAAAAAAGCAGTAAAATGTCTTCATAATTTGTGAAAGTATATTCAACGCATTAGTAAAGTACCTAGTTCCAACTCCCATATACAAGCTATATCCATATCAGCAAAATTTGATATGATGGGTGATTGCTGTCTTCCATTGTGGGGTCATCTTAAGAAGAGTTATAATTCTATTGCACTGCCATTGCTTCGTTGCGCATTACCTTTTCAATTTAACTAAACGAATGACTTAGCGGCTGCTCTTTCACAGGCGTCTGTTTTGCCTACAGACAGCGACAACCCGACAGGTTTCTAAACCGGACGAGCGGGCAGCACAAGTGACAACAGAAATTAGCACTGTGGACTGTGGGTTAGCAATATGTACAACGAAAGGGTCAATCAATTTAGAGTGAAACAAGTACTCCAGGTCAGGTTATGCTGTGAGGAACCAAAACACGCTGGATTTTATCTCTATCCCCCTCCCCCTTTCGGATTCGAATTTGATGTAGTCACCTGAATCAGACAAGGCGGTGAGGGGGCGGCGCGCGGGGGACAAACTGAATGGGCAATAGGCAGCAGGAAAGCCGCAGGAGGTGCACACGGTGCACACAATAAAAACGCTGTCTTGGTTTCCAAGCAGCCAAGTGGAAGAAATACATGGAAACGTCTTGGCTTTTTCGAAGCTGTAGGAAAACCAACACGTCGTTTTTTATCGTGTTGTGGGTGGTGGGAGGGGGTGGTAGTTAGCCCCCCCCCCCCCACAACCACCACCACCAATTTTGGGAAACAAATCAAAGCCTCCAAACAGAACAGCTAATACAAAACGGATGGAAAAATAGTTGTCTTTTTTAGGATGCTGATCCATTGTGGCCAAAAGATTGTGATCTGCGGGTGGGCGGAACTGGTATAAAAAGAGAGGGGGGGGGGGGGCAACCCGATCTCCCGGCCGGCCCAGGTCAAAACGAGGGCTAAAGTAGGGTGTGTGCAGGTATGTTCCTTCTGGTAGACAGTCTTGGAGGCTGACTAAAAAACTTGCCCGGAGCCGAACCACCGGCCTCCTACGCTTGGCTGCGAATTGATCAGAGAGTTCATCACAGCTGATATGTTCCTTCCGGAGACCGGCCGGCCCCCTCCTCACTCGACCACCTGGACAGGAGCTCGGGTGTGGCGGCGGTCACAGAGGACCTGGTCCTCTGTGGCGGCGGTGACGACGGTGCTTCATAGGCGCTGCGATCTGCCCCTAGACGCCCCCACTTTCCATGAGGGGCTTTGTGGCCTGGTTTCATTTCTGTAAGGTCGTGGACT